CCCAGGCTTGAGGGTCCTGCGCAGTATCTTATATATATATATATATATATATATATATATATATATATATATATATATATAATATATATATATATATGTGTGTGTGTGTGTGTGTGTGTGTGTGTGTGTGTGTGTGTGTGTGTGTGTGTGTGTGTGTGTTTTTATTTTATTCAATATCAATATTTGTCAAAGTTAATCTAATAAAAAAAAAACACAGTGACGTCAGTTCCAAAGCGCTATAGTGTCAGACTAATCTCCCGCTGAAGAGAATCCAGAGACATCAAGAGATTACGGAAAATCACGCGAGATAACTGGCTTGCACCTTGTTGGGTTTTTTCAAGGGCAGAGGGGAGATTCCTGGCGTGCATCTACTTAATTTGAAGAAGGTAAGAGTCAAACTATTTTCATCTAAGTCCATATAAAAATATGTAACTTAAAATTTCTCTACCATCTGCACCATTTTCTACTTGTTCCATACTTGTGTCACATTATTTCATGTTCTGTAGATTAAGTCGGTTAGGTTAAGGCAGATAGCATTTTGTTTACATTTATCGCCGCACCATGTTAGGTACATTTTGTGCGAAAAAAGTCTGCAGAGCCATATGTAGTGTACAAAGCTGCTGCCAGTGACACAAATGGACCCCAGAAATGTCACAGTTTTGTTCCTCCTGAGCTCCCTGGAGGTTTAGAGGATTTTTAACACACGGATCTAACATCAGTCTATTTCTAACTATTTTAATTCTATTTCAGTAATGTTACTATGGAGGTAAATGTAGATACACACACACACTTTGGTACCTTTCTATCATCATCGAGATTCTTAATTAATTATGGTAATAAAAAGTCCTACATTTCAGTCGGTGAAACCTGCAGAAAGCATTGCTTTCTGAGCTTTGTTAAATGTTCCTAAAATACCTGTTAGTTATGGATTTCTAGTATATTTTGTCAGGCTAAAACTCTCAATGGATTATCCATTATTACAGACTTGAGCTTTCTATTTTTTTTCTTTAAAATACATATTCCTCTGCTGTAAAGATGTTGGGGTTTTTTGGACTCTTCTTTGTTGTCCCCAAATAATTGTAGCTCAGAAACAATATTGAAGTTCATTGGTTTAATTTTGAAATGTTGATGTTTTTTGTGTTGATTGTTTGTGCTCATTTTGACCTATGTTACTATTGCTTTCTGCCATGTTCAATTCACCATTGTTCTGCACATATGTGCTTGCATGTGTCCAGTGGTTATATTCATGAGCATTCAAGGGACTTGTACTAAAAGATACAACTCAGTTCAGTATGAATTGCATATTTTAATGGCTGAAAATATATCTGATCTCTTTCAGAACATCACCTGTCTGTAATCCACCTGCGTAAGTACTGGTCAAGGGGCTCATCGGCTATCAAGTTATAGATTTCAGTGGCTAATAGTAAGTTTTGCCAGATCTAAAGTGACTGAATGTAGTAGAGAGCTTATAAAGCTAGGGTTCAGCTAAACATTATTTGGCCAGTCTGTTTTATTTGTCTTTATTTGCGTGGGGATGTGGAAATGTAAGGAGTGTAGTCTCTTTCTGTCTCGTAGATATGACCTGTTAAAACATTTTACACTTAAACACCGGCATATGCGACGTTATCCATGCCCACAATAGACTGTCCATGTACTTGTAAGACATGGAATGCTTTGCATATTCATTTAAGTAGAAGGATATAGACTGTGTTGACCATTCTGTACTTTTCACATATTCTTTGGTGATATATTCATGTCTTTATTTAAACATCTAACAGCTTCAGTTAGATGTTTAAATGAGATGTTAAAACTCAATTTTAGTCATGGCATAATGAAGGGATACTAACAATTTTAAATATCTTTCAAATAGACTGCAAGCCACTGATCACTTTTGTTGTGACTTCCTTTGAATGTAGCTATGTTTCAAGTGTGTGAACCTATACTGCTGGAGTTTGAGATTGTTCTCATTGTTTTTGATCTGCATATTTAGGAAGACACTGCTGAGGTCAGACGAGAGTGCATCCTCAAAGGTCTGTGTGTACCTAAATGAAGATCCAGAGAAGCTGGTGAGGGAGTACATGGTATGTTAAATTCTCTTTGTGTTTACAATAGAACTCCTAAGAGTTGTTAAAATACTTTCACCAACTAAGGTCCATGAGTGACTCAATCAATGTCAGTCTAATTTATTTATTTAATTATATGTGAATTGCTCCCCCCCCCCCCCCCAATACCCTTCCATAACTCCCTTAGGACGTTGATGAATGTGCAGAAATGGCCAAGCCGAGACTGTCCTCGGAATCGTCATTTGAGCAGAGGGTGCAGAGGCTGCCGATGCACATCTGGATGTTGGGATTGTCCTGGAGGAGGTGGAAGTTATGAACAGCTTGGGCAGTGTATCTTCTGCAATAGTGATGCTGCTGGGACTAATCTACGCACTAAACTTGAGCTACCCTCAAGTTTAGTGCGTTCAGCACTCAACTTGCTCAGTAACTCAAGCATACCTTTGAAGTAATACAAGAAATAATAATGAAATTGGATGGAAAGAATATCAAAGAAAGCACAAGTTCTCAATATGAAACTCGCTGCTAAGTTGAGTAAGTTTCATATGGAAAATGAGTGTTTAAAGTCTGCAGTAGAAAAGATTTATATTGTTACAGTTCTCTAAGTTGAGCAACTATACTGACATGTTTTATGTTGTAAAGAATTGGCTGGGAAATGAAACTGTAACCTTTTTGTAGTTGTTTTTTTATTTCAATGTCCAACTCAGCTGTGTTTTGTGCTGTGTAAAAAAACGATGTATAGCAATTCTGAAAATACAATTGTGTTGTACCTTTTCTAATTGTTGAGTGTTCTTCCTACACTTTCACCTAGTGCTATCTTAAATGCTTGATTAACGCTTGAAAATATGTCTTTGAATTAACGTAATGAAATAATGAAAAGGATTTCCACATGATTAACTAGCTGTCTTTTTAGCATGAAGCATATTGTTGAGCTAACTTGCTTTTAGTGAGTTGGACCTACTGAATCAGGTAGTGTGAAGGTACCACTGTAAAATAAGGTGGTTTCAACTAGATTTACATTCATCTTAATGAAGTTACATCAATGATTTGGTCCTAAACATTGCAGATTAGTTGGGCTGGCTGTATTGCATTACACTGGTCACGCTATAGTAACTGAGTTAAAGGAACCTTTAAAAATATGTTGAGCCAACACATTCATTTGAATTTGAATAACCTTAATGAATGGAGTTGAGCCAACTCATTTGATTTACAATCATCCATTGCATTACCATAATTCTGGTTAAGCCAACATATTTGGTTTAAATTAGAACAACCTTAATGAATTATGTTTCGCCAACTCATTTTATTTATATAAGAATAACCACAATATATTACGTTGAGCCAACATGTTTGATTTGAATCACCCATTGAATCACCATTGTAACAAGTTGAGCCAACACATTTGCTTTACATTGGAATAATCTTAATAAATTAGGTTGACCTAACACATTTGCTTTAAATAGGAGTAACACAAGTACATGGTGCTGAAATAAAGCAAGTAATCAGGTGGAAATCCTTTCCATAATTTTTTATGTTCATCCAATGACTTTTTTTCAGTGTGTGTTTGGTTTGCAATTGTGGTACAATGCATTATTTTCTAACAGCTCTGCTTTGAGTTCATTGAAAATAATCTTGAGACCAATTTAAATTTTTTGGAAGCCAGTTATACTACCGTTATATTTTTTGTTAACCCCTTATCTAATATTTTCCTATTTGTACAAAGATCTGACTTGCTAACTAATGTCTATTAAATCTAAGATGAGTTTTATACAGTTGCTTAGGAATAAGTATTAGGTTGAATTTCCTAGACAGCCTCAAGACAGTACTTGGTTTCTGACAATTAGTAGAACGTTCAACAGGCTTAATTTGATTAAGAAGTATTTCTGAGCTTTGAGTAGTCATGTTTTTTTTACCAATTTGATTACAGTATATATTTCCTCCTTTTACAGCTGCAGTTACCTGTTCATTTCCATTTGAAGTGACTAAAATAATTCTAGAAATTTAAATGTTAAGTTGAATAAAATTTAGATCTGTGAACACAGATCTAAATCACAAAAGGAAGTGTTATTAGTTAAATACAAATAAGATTAACCATATAATTATGTATAAGTTTTGTGACTGGTATCTGGGCAGTGACTTGGTCCATATATTTAAGCTAAACGAAAGTAACATAATTCAGGAGTAACATGCAGTAGCAGGTACTGTGCAGCAGGGCAAGTTGGTTTTTTTATACTTTCACTGTCCCATTGAAAGTGGAGGATGTTTTGTGACTTTTGTTCTTCTAAATTATTCGAAACCGCATATTTTAGCACTGGCGTTGATTTTACTGACATCCAGTGCACAGCTGAAGTGGTCTGTAACAATTGCTGCTTGATTTAAACCTAGAGAGAGCCCACTTCTTATTTTTTTCTGTCATTGAAAGGGGAGTAATTATTGTTTTTGTGCTTTCATCCTGAATCTCAGGGGAACCAAAATTACAGCTTTGCTTTGTCATTTCTGATTCTTCAACTCACCTGACATTCACAGAGTCAATTTGTTATTTGATTTTTCTCTTTCTTCTTTACTGGTCAAGTATAGTAACATCATAGAAGTGAAAATATTCCCTGTTTGTTCTCTTTATGTTTGTTTCTGCGTTGAATGAAAGACGGTGGATAAGTGGCTAGTGTTTGTTCAACAACGCACATGCCAAAGACTGATAAAGTGCCCTAAAACATTAAGCCTTTTAGTATTTATACTACGTTATGTCCTTAAATTCTGGAATCAATTACTTTGAAATATTACAAAATTTTCATTTAAAACAGAGAAGGAACTCTAAAGAGAGACAAAAAAATACACCCTTCTAAGATCAATGAAGCTGAGATAAGTTGAGTGCAATGAAACTATTGATCTGTGTTAATTTGTGTTTTCTTAAGGCTAATTCTTTCCTTTCTGTGTCCACAGTGAACAAACACAAGCCCTGGATAGAGACATCATACCATGGAGTGATAACTGAAAACACTGATGTTGTTCTGTTGGACCCTCCACTGGTTGCCCTGGATAAAGACGCCCCCATCCCTTATGCAGGTAGGCTACATTTCACCATCAACTCGGCAACATGGCCTGACTGGCATCCACTAGAGGCCAGTCAACAATGACTGAAAAGTTAATGCTCACACAGAAGCATCAGTGCTGTTTCTTTTTTCACACCAGAGATATAAGTCACATAAAGCTGTCGTGTGAAATACCTGAAGGAAATACCTCATATACTTTTTGTTTGTTTTACATTGGAGTGTACTGATTTAATTTTAATCCAATAGTTCTGAGGAGTCACCACATGCAGGACTCTTTTTTTTTTTTCATTTTCTTTTTTTTTTTCCTATGTAATGTTGCCCATATAAGCCCCTCTGGTGATTGAGGAAAAAAACCCTTGTATAACCGGATTAGATTCTTCTCACTTTGTGGCCATTCCAGCTCATCTAAAGGGTGCCAACTTTTGCGGGGGACGCCTGCTGGAGGCTACTGGCTTGCCCAGTCGTTCCCTTCTCCTGCCAATCCGCTAATGTGGCCAGGGCCACGGCAGGGGGCTGTTGCCCACTCACAGAGACCCTCAAGCTTAGCTGGCTGGAAGAACGAATTAATGGTTGAAGTGGAGGAGAGAGTGTGTACTGTGCACGCAAATGTGAATGTGTGCATGCTTGTGAGAACATGTTTAGCATTGGTTAGAAATGTGCACATGCATATATATAAATATATGTATGTGACTGTGATTGTGTGTGCGTTGAGGCCGGAGGGGCTTGCTGGCATAGCCACCCCACAGGGAGAAAGGGAGAGAATGATGAGGTCGGTGGGAGTAGCTGGCTGACCAGTACATACCCTCTAGCTCTCAATAGACTGATGGCTACACATGGAGATGGTACGTGCACCTGCATGCATGGCTTCACACAAGCATTTTGCTACACACTCAGATCAGGCTTTGCATGTAGACATCCCTGGAATTCCAAAGTGAAAGCACCGGGAGAGATTCCTCCCAGAAATATTAATAGGGACAGACCAGGGTTACCTGTTGCTTAGCACTGAGTCTCTTCTTTCTTTCTTGCTATGGTAATTAGGTATCTCTTTCCACTCTCTTGGTTTCATCGCATCATAACTTCACAAATATTTCACCTACCTCTTTGTATATTTCCCAGCAACCCCAAGAACCTAAACAATATTGCTTTTGCATCTTTTTTTGAGCTAATACAGTTCTGAATTTTATGGACAGAGTTACCCAGTAATTAGCTGGATAAAGTCCATCTGTTTTTTTATGAGATTGTAGAATTACAAGTCTGTGTACAGGTAGTATTTGAGCCTTTTTAATTAGGTCAGACAAATTTTCATTAGGGTAATGCTCCAATATGGAGATACAAAGCCGGACTAGTAACAATTTGCTTGAAGCACTGGGCCGGTCGTCAGTGGTGGACAAAAAAAGCCTGCAAGCTCCCACTAATGCTATAAGCTATTAAAACGTATAATATTCCAGATAGTGTGTCAATCACATTTTTTTACTTTATGGTGAGCTGTGTCTTACAAAAATATTCACACTGCTTCCAACCTCACAAATTTTGTGACCTGACAATCACAAATCCCAGAGAATTTGGGATAATTTTATGTTGTAGACCACTGCAAAAGATTTCAAAGCAGAAAAATTATTATCCATGCTTTTTTTTTTTTTGTTTTCTTATGTTTTACAAATATAGTTGCATTTTTTTTTCAAACTAGACCATTCCTCCCAAACACCCAATAAACTTGCATTGCAGTTACAGCTTCCTTTCTTGGGGGACTTCCCCAATGTCATTGTGGTGCTGCAGAGGCCGGTCAACTGACACGACCCAGCAACATTTGGAGCCTTAAGGATCTCCAGGCAAATCTCAACAGGTGTATTAATAGTAATAATAGACACAGGCAGACTGTATGTACAAGCTTGATGACAGTTGTTTGCTCTCTCATCTTTTTAGAGGTATCCAAATAAAGGGGGTTTTCTTTGTAAAAAATATGAAATACTATGCATTACTTTCATTTCACCTCACAGTGACTGCTTGTGGTACTTTATGTTTTTGGTCTGTCACAACATTATCAGATGCACTGGTGTGTGTAATTATGTGACATATCAAAAAATGTATGAATGCTTTTGAGAGACACTGCATTTATTCTTAAAAAAATTCTGTAACTTTAGACACATTGACTGTACGATCAACAGGTAGTTCAGATTAATTCAGAGAGAAAATCCCACTAAGTCGGCACAATTCCACAGAGTTTCCCTGTTCTTCTTTTACATCACTCTGAACCTGTCCAACATTCCTCTGGGGCTGCTGGGCAGTCACTGATCTGGAACAACAGAAATTGTGGCAGAGCTATGTCTGAAACTTGACGAAAACTGACACCACCTTGACTGTGGCCCCAAATCAACTCTCCACCTTCAGAATTACCTACTCAGGACTTCAGGAAGAGTGAAGGGCATCTGTCTGCTCTAAACACTTATTTTATGCATGTCTATGTCTGACAATGTGCAGTCAGTTTGCTCTAACAAACAAAAGTAAATAGCTTAAAAAAAACAAGAGTTTAGATATTGGGTCTTTATGTTAAACTGACAGAATAGCTTGTTTTCAGTTAGGTTGTGGTTACCGCAAGCAATAGAAACCCTTCACAGCTTCTGTCTAGACTAAAGATATCCATAATTTTATTAGTTGACAAGCACCTATGCAAATTCAGTCAATCATTCTTCTGGATTTTTCCACCTCAGTGACAAGTGTACACAAGGGTGATGCTGAAGCCTCTGAAAGGTGAAAAGAACCAGAAAAACACTATAGCTCTGTAATAATGTGCACAAACAAGTCAGGGAAGGCTGCATGGAACAAAAATATGGGCTCTGAATCAGTTCAGCTCAACCAATTATCTCAGTACCTCGGCTCCCTCTTCATGCTGTGATTCAGTCTTAGTTTCTCGTTTTCATGCTCGGTCTGACTTAAATAAATGTTATGCCTGTTGTCAGTGGTGCATGCCCAACTCTTTCTGCCTTACCTGCAGGCAGAAAGAATTACTGGAATTTACTAAAATATATTACCTTTGGTTGACAGAAATATTTTTATTATTGGAAAACAGCAGATAAAACCTGTTTGTCTGTATGATTCTGAATATTTTTATATCTTCAAATTCCCAGGCCATGAATGTCAGTTATTTGGAGATTTTTTAAACAGACCCAAAGCTTTATTACTGATCATTCTTCATCAAAAGTATTGTTTTAAATTATTTTTACAACATTTTTGTGTGTGTGTGTGTGTTTTTTTTTTTTTTGTTTGTTTGTTTCTTTGCAATAGAAGACTTTCCATTAATATTATTAATATTATTTTTATTTGCATCTACAACCCTGTACATTTGGGATGGTTGTCTCAGGCTTGCAAGCTTTTCCTCTAAATGTAACAAGATATTGTGCTTGAAAACTTCAGTTGTAGTTTAAACACACCACAGGACACGTCTCCAAAATGATTTTCTTTGTCTCTGAGCACATTTCTAAATTGAAATCTTTGTTTCTTTGTGTCTCCTCTTTGAGTGGCCTATTAGTTCATATGAGTCCAGGACTCATTCATACTCATTTTTCCTAAAAATCTAAATTTATAATAGATAAATTCATAAAAGTAGATGTAATAAATCCATGTTAGGACACATAAAAATACAAGAAAGATGATTCTAAAGAACAGTTCAGCACCAAATTACTCATATCCCTGACACATCTACCAAAAACATAGCTTTCATTTGACTAAAACATGTAAACATAGGGAAAAAAATCTTGATTCCAAAACATTTGTGTTAGGGGAAATGAGATAATAAGAAGTTTTGTTCAAGGAACAAAAATACTCATAGTCAAAGTGCTGAATATCCAATGTTCTTGAAAGAGATAAATGATGCATTTGGTGTTTTGAGCTGCGTTTTCCATGCAGTTTTGGCTGTAAGTACATTTAAATCTATAAATATAAATATTCTGAGTTATTTAGTTTGATAATATGCAAGACCAATATCCATGCAGCTGATTGATTTGAACTGGTTTTGTTTAGATGATATGTGGAGTGTCACTGTTCAGAGAAAGCTTGCAAAGTGCTGCGTTTGCCAGGTTAATCGGCAAGAGTTTTGCTAAGTGTTGGTATTTGGCACAGGTCAAATGATTGTCAGTCACTTCTAATATTCTATCGCCAACATGCCTATTGACACTGACAGCTTTTCATTTTCTTGCAGGGAAACTTATTGTTAATGTGTCAATCCCTCAGTTTCACTGGTCCCCAGAGCCCTGTGGTTTTTGCTTGGACAAGCAAGCAAATGTCTCACCACTGACCCACAAACCGCATACTCTATGCTCTGTCAGCAATGCTTGGAAAGATTCAAAGTCCCCAAATCACCCTCACACACACACACACACACACACACACCCACACACCCACACACACACACACACCCACACACACACACACACCCACACACACACACACACACACACACCCACACACACACACGCAAGTTTGTATTTCTACCCATATTAAGACTTTGTATTGACTTAAATTTATTTCAGTAACTAAATTTATGCCTAACCCAGACAGTTTTAACTCTGAACCTAACCCTGAACTCTAAACAATGGGATCAATAGTTTTAGGACCGGGCTTTGGTCAGTATAAGGCACAATGTTAGTAAATATGCCAGAAATGGTCCAAAATAGGATACTGAGATGTATTCTAACCCTTGCTTTTTTTTAAATAATCAGAGCTGTTCTTGTGCGATTGCATTTGAAAACAAAAAACAGTCTCTAATTTGAGTCTTATCTGCTTTACTAAAATGAGCCTCTGAACACAAAGAAATCAATTATTTCCTGTCTTTGGAGAATCCATATATATATATATATATATATATTATATATATATATATATATATATATATATATATATATATATATATATATATATATATATATATATATTATATATATATATATATATATATATATATATATTCACTACAGGTAAGCACAGGGCATCATAATATTGCTGTGATTAAATAGATCT